GTTATTTTTAGAAACTCCTACCATGCTGTCAGAGAAGAGCTGATGTTGATGCTTTTAAAGTATTCATGTCATTTGATGTTTGAGCTGATAAATGGTAGGTCTGAAATTTCTAGATTATTACATAGTGCTTGTTCTACATCTATCTGGGATTCATCTAAGAAGGTGTGTTTTAACCATCTTGAGATGAAGCCTGTTGGCTAAGAAGTGTTGTTGAAAGTTAGGCAGCTCTAGTCCTCCTTTATCCTTGGTCCTATGTAGCATTTTTAACCCTAGAACACTATCACCGGGTGATTTTCACCCGAGCAAATGTATTTACATAATTTTCAATATGTTGCGTTTGTCTGAGTGTGGTGGGTCCCTGGGTAGCTTTAGCATTGTCTTTGACGTCTTTGAAGGCGTGGGTGTTTCCCTACCCCAAATCCCGCTTTTTCCTACAGGCTCACCATATTTACTGTCCCTCTTCAACTACAGCTGTCATCCTGTTGCAGGTTTAGTGTCTTTGGCATCCCAGCTAGTGAGTAACATATAGGTAAGGTTTGTTTAACTTGGCAATTGTTAGCTGATTAGATTTCTTTTTCTTTCTTTCTTTTTTATCTAAAAGCTATGTTATGTAGCTAGCTGTGGCATGACCTTAGTGGGAACAATAAAAGCAAACAAAAGGGAGATCCCACAAGTGATGAAAGTTAAAGAAAATCACGCGCCAGGCTCCTGTGCATTTCTCTTTACCAAAGAACTAACCTTGGTGTCCTTCCTCCCTGACAAAGCTTCAAAAAAGAAGGTTGTACTGCTCCTGTCATCCATGCATACACAACCAAGCATAGGACCCACTTGGCCTTATATGCAGGCTTTGGCATTGGCACTCATCAAACCATGGGCAGAGCAGAGGCTCCCCTCTTCAAATCTGTCACGTCAACTCAGAGTCCTGATCTGTAGCGTGCTCGACATCCCTACCCCTGGCACTCTTGAAGGTGAGGCAGGACCAGTGGCAGCAGAAAACAGTGGTCCCTTAGTGAGGTGTGCTGATTGCCCCACAGGCTTGGA